CAGATAGTAGAGAAAACAGATAGACATGACAGACTGTTGACAAAGTAGACAGACATTATAGACAGTAGGCAGACATGACAGATAGTAGACAAAAACAGATAGACATGACAGACTGTTGACAAAGTAGACAGACATTATAGACAGTAGGCAGACATGACAGATAGTAGAGAAAAACAGATAGACATGACAGACTGTTGACAAAGTAGACAGACATTATAGACAGTAGGCAGACATGACAGATAGTAGAAAACAGATAGACATGACAGACTGTTGACAAAGTAGACAGACATTATAGACAGTAGGCGAACATGACAGATAGAGAGTAGAAAACAGATAGACATGACAGACTGTTGACAAAGTAGACAGACATTATAGACAGTAGGCAGACATGACAGATAGTAGAAAACAGATAGACATGACAGACTGTTGACAAAGTAGACAGACAACATTATAGACAGTAGGCAGACATGACAGAGTAGAGAAAACAGATAGACATGACAGACTGTTGACAAAGTAGACAGACATTATAGACAGTAGGCAGACATGACAGATAGTAGAGAAAACAGATAGACATGACAGACTGTTGACAAAGTAGACAGACATTATAGACAGTAGGCAGACATGACAGATAGTAGAGAAAACAGATAGACATGACAGACTGTTGACAAAGTAGACAGACATTATAGACAGTAGGCAGACATGATAGACAGTAGATAAACAGATAGACATATGACAGACAGTTGACAAAAGTAGAAAGACATGATGGACAGTAGACAAAACAGACATGATAGACAGTAGACAAAACAGAAAGACATGACAGACTGTTGACAAAATAGACAGACATTATAGACAGTAGGCAGACATGATAGACAGTAGATAAAACATATGGGCAGTAGACAAAACAGAAAGACATGATGGACAGTAGACAAAATAGAAAGACATGATGGACAGAAGACAAAATAGAAAGACATGATGGACAGTAGACAAAATAGAAAGACATGATGGACAGTAGACAAAATAGAAAGACATGATGGACAGTAGACAAAATAGAAAGACACGATGGACAGTAGACAAAATAGAAAGACACGATGGACAATAGACAAAACAGATAGACAAAATGGATATAGACATGACAGACAGAAGACAATGTATAACGACATGATCATAACAAACAGAGACACTACAACAATGATTAGCCCAGTTACTCAGCAAAAGGTCATTAACAGATATGGTAGTTATACATAGGCCAACAGTTTCAGGGACAGAGTTCACAATCTACAACTGACATCTCACTACCATCCATTTGTCACACTACTTCACAATCTACAACTGACAACGTCACACTACCATCCATTTGTCACACTACCATCCATTTGTATTAGTACAGGACTTAACAATCTACAACTGACAACGTCACACTACCATCCATTTGTATTAGTACAGGACTTAACAATCTACAACTGACAACGTCACACTACCATCCATTTGTATTAGTACAGGACTTCACAATCTACAACTGACAACGTCACACTACCATCCATTTGTATTAGTACAGGACTTCACAATCTACAACTGACAACGTCACACTACCATCCATTTGTATTAGTAGAGGACTTCACAATCTACGACTGATAACGTCACACTACCAATTGTATATTTGTGGTGTAATATTTGTAAAGCAGCATATTTTCAAACAGAAATTTTGTACACATGCATTATTCAGTTTTGACAACTAAATAGAGACATACATTTTCACATAATAATAGATTTATCAATTGTGAAAGAAATGTCCTTGTCTGTCCTATAACATTACTTTTAAATTGAATGGAATATTGCTCAAATATTTCAATAAAAAACTCAATGGTTTTCTTTACTACAAATGTAAATTAATCTTTTACTACCCTATAAAATATACAGCTCACTGTACAGTTTCCTGACTGACTTCACACAAATGGCTAATACAATGACCTGACACTCACTGTGATGTTACCTCCTACACAGTAGTACGGAACATTCAATACAGCAGAGATTCATTTCAATTTCACTGTACAGCACACACTACCGTTGAGGGAGATTTATGAGGACAAATATGAACTTCTAAGCTAAAGCTACAATAAAGTAAACTACCCTGACAGGGCTAAACAAGCACAGACATACAGTGTGTGGTATACATACACGTAGTGTTGTCACAGAGGCTCTTATCTGGAAATGTTGGATCAACATATTTTAGTCACATATTTCTCAAACCTTTCATGAACCTGTAAATACTTTTCATTTACACAGCATTGAAAACTACCTCAGAAAATCTGATGAAAAATTCAAGGATATTTCATACGTAGTTAATATTAAGAATTAATTGTAAGTAATTTCAAAAGACATAAGTGCAATATTGAGAGAACATTGTTTTACGCTATGGCTGTACCATAACTGTGTCACTGCATCTCAAATAGCATCATAAATAATTAGGTTGGGAATGATGAGATAAACAAGTGGTTGATGGTATGAGTGACAATCCATGCTATACATTGTACCCATCTACCCAGTTCAGGGCCCTGTTAGACGGACCCTGTCTCATGCCACACATTGTACCCATCTACCCAGTTCAGGGCACTGTTAGACAGACCCTGTCTCATGCCACACATTGTAACCATCTACCCAGTTCAGGGCCCTGTTAGACAGACCCTGTCTCATGCCATTCCCAGCTATATTTCTGCTATGTGACAGCATCCTGGACATATCGTGTGTGGACCAAAATTCAGAACAGAAGTAAGACCTGCAGACATCCTTCTTTCCATTTGTTGTTGTCATTATTTTATAGGCAGTAAAGTACATTTATAACAAACACATATACAATGATGAGGAGGCCACTTGCTGTATATTTGTAGTAGTTGAAAAGTACATAATAAACTATGGTTATAACAAACTTAGTGGTCTCTTTGAGTTCATTATAACTACAGTTTACTGTACATCTGTGGTTTCATGTAAATGGTGAAATTGATATGAAAAATGAGTGTCTTGATCACTTATAACAAGGTGATGCATTTTCATCTCTACATATGGGATAATATTGTCAGTGAGGTTCATTGAATGCACATGGGCAGTAACGCTGACATATGTAACAAAGTATATACTAAACGATGTAACTAACATTAGATTTACACAGTGGTCCTGGTCTCAGTGTGCAGTCGTAATAATCACCACTTGTACAGGATGATGTCTTTGTTCCTGGCAACCTTGTCAAATACTCTTCTAATAACAAAACCCCAAAGCCCAAATGTAGTAACAATATTCCACAACATGGTTGTGCAATATCACTTGGAGCCTGTACAATCGTTGTTGGTGACACCCATTTCAATATCTTCTTTGAGTGCCATTTTAGAAGTTGGACTGACTGACTGACAGACTGAGTTTTGGTTTTACGCCGCTTTTAGCAATATTCCAGCAACATCACGGTGGGGGACACCAGAAATGGGCTTCACACATTGTACCCATGTGGGGATTCGAACCCGGGTCTTGACGAGCGTGATGAGCCAACGCTTTAACCACTAGGCTACCCCACCGCCCCTTAGACGTTGGAAGTCAGATAGAACAAGTATATATGGATGACAACTTCTTTTACTCTAGAACACGACGTTTCGATACAGGTTCTTGTATCATTATCAAGTATGAATGTTGAATGTTTCAAGATTGTTCAAGTATGAATGTTCATTCATACTTGAAAACGATACAAGAACCTGTATCGTCGTGCTCTAGAATAAAAGAAGTTGTCATCCATACATACTTGTTCTACCATTTGAATATCTGTTATTACCAAGTACTAATATATACCAAAAATACAACATTTGACTTTATGAAAGTTCAAACACAAGCAAGTTGAAAATAGAGATTGTGCAGTCACCAAATAATAATATTCAAAGTACTGTTACCCTTAACACTATCATGGAATCCTTTGAAAGATTTAATAGGTCAAAGGCAAAGCATCTCTCACTAAAATCATGATACATTTTAATCCAAGGGTCTATACTCGCATTATTTGGTGACGCATTATTTTCATGATGCACACTAGTATTTATTTGTGTATGTTACATAATGTGTTGTGATTGGTATAGCATGTGAATGAGTGAGGTCTTAAGCCGCTTTTAGCAATATTCCAGCAAAATCACATCTTGGACACACAGTGGAAGTAGCAGCTGGGGAGTGTGGTGTACCGGCCCTGGTATAGCTGAAATAGCAGCAGCTAAGTGCTGTGTATGAGACTTCAGTTATTGGTTTACATTAGTACAGTCCCTCCAAAGGTTTATGTGATTCATCAGTGGTTTCCTACTTCTCTAGAGCTATACCCTGAGTTATACCATGCAATAAAGCCCATCTCTCCTCACCATCTCTGCAATGTCAGAAGCTTTCTTTAGCAAAGACCACATATTTTCAAAGTTATATATAAAATTACAGACACTTTGGACCCCCTAAATTCGCTTTCTTGTCAAAATATTTGGTATCATAGTTTATCGTTACTCATTAGATAGGATTGTGCTATCTGATTGTCCAAATCATTGTCTTCTAACACCTACACAGGGCAGAATGTATAGACAACAAGTCATCAAAGTAGCCTGTGAGAGTCTGCTTTGGGGCAAACACATTTCACCAAACCAAGTCTTTGTAACCAGTGTCAACATGTCAGCATAAAGCTGACACTGACAGGATTTAGGAAGCTGGACATTTGTGTACACCATTCTTCCGTTGATATTTGGGTGTACATGTCCAAGGTTTTATGTAAATATCAGTAGGTAAAGTGGTGTGAAGCATGAGAATACACTATAAGCATATGTGAATCGATCACTTATATATTTCCCTTTATGGGTCATGATGTAGTTACCTCCCCTCATAGCGCATGACACAGTTATGTCCCATCACTGCTCCTGCCATAGAAGATATGTCCCATTATTGGTCATTACCAACAATAGTGAAGACATCTCTCCTGTATGTGTGACACCAGCACCTACCTCCACCTCTTCCTCCTCCTCTGCATCCCCATCACCGATGTCCATCGCCAGGCTCACACAGTCATCCAGTATCTGTCGAACTGCTGTCCTACTCTTCCTGTTTTGTACTGCCTGAGAAATAGACCAAACACCAGTTACCTACAGACATATCATTTAGATGAAGTATATACCACAGTCTAAAACACTTAACACATTTAGGTCAGATTTAAAGTCTACTGGTCAGTCAGTTTGGCAAAAGCAATGAACCTGAAAAGAGTCAGCATGCTGGACCTCGTTCTGCAAAGTGATCTTATCGCTATGACTATCATAAGTCTATGTTAAAGTATGGTAATTACAATCATGTTAGCACTCAAATTGCTCTGTTGAAACTAGGGTCAGGTCCATGTGAACAATTCAGGTCTTCATACTGATGATTTTTCTCCTGAATACCACACACGAACACTGGGTAGCATCTTGTGATACTAAGAAGTCAGCATACGGCAGCCATACTGAATCTCTACACCCTGATTGTCCACAAGTGACACACCTTGGTGAAGTTGTCCTGCCTGTTGAGATGATGTGCTGAATGTGATGTTGCGAGTGTTGCTCCTGCCGATGCTGGGTGCCTATACTGGTCTCGCACTACCCTAGCTGACTGTGCTCTGTGGGTCATGTCCAGCTTCAGGTCCAGCTTCTCCTTCAGGATGGATGACATCGGTCTTGGTGGCCGGTGACTCTGTAACTGTAAACGGCTCCTGCTCAAATACGGTCATGCAACGAACAATGTTCTCAGCAAAACAGTCAGAATATGTGTAGTAACAAACCAGCAGAACATATCTAGTTCACTTGCTTTTGTCCTCTGACATCATGAGGGGTGCGAGTTGGCCTGATTGCTGCATTGAACAGTAATTGAGATATATCCCACTTTGTCAGCTTGATTCAAAGTGATTTAGGTGTTAGCCCTTTACCAGACATGGGCTGCCACTCTGTACAGACTAAACAAGGTGCCTTAGATGACCGGGACAGTCATCCTGCCTTGTGCCATTGTGAACAGGAAATGGCATCAATGTTACATAAACATGTTTTACTCGAACAAAATGGATCACACTATCCTTCATGTTTGGCAATATCTAACTTTAGACCAAACAAGCCTAGTGGATAAAGTGTTGAGTCATCACTCTGAATGTCTGGATTTGATTGTGGATGCCTGCTGGTATTGCTGGAGTGAGCAGCGTAAAACCTCACTCACTCACTCATTCATGTAAAAAAACGTGCCAAGAATGTTCCCTCAATCGAAGATATTGCTACTACCTTTGGTTTGGGGGTATCCAGAGGCGTGTCTGGCCTGTAGCTGGTGTAGATGAGGGGGGTAGGTTCCCGCGCCGGGGGTTCCAGCATAGCACTGTCAGGAGAGTTGGGCCGCGATGTGTGATAGATGATGGCTGCCCGTCGCTCCAGCTCCTTCCGCATTTCGTCTGTGCTCTGTATTGTGTATCTGGTGGTGAGACATAGGTGAATAGTGTATCTGGTGGAGAGACATAGGTGAATAGTGTATCTGGTGGTGAGACATAGGTGAATAGTGTATCTGGTGGAGAGACATAGGTGAATAGTGTATCTGGTGGTGAGACATAGGTGAATAGTGTATCTGGTGGAGAGACATAGGTGAATAGTGTATCTGGTGGTGAGACATAGGTGAATAGTGTATCTGGTGGTGAGACATAGTGTGGGGTAGTGTGAGACAGGTATAGGTGAATAGTGTATCTATATGGTGCAGTCTGTAACTAAGAAATTGGGGTATGATGACATGTGTCAACAAGCCTGACCACTCGACCCCGTTTGTCACCTCTTACGACAAGCATGGGTGGCTGAAGACCAAATCTAACCCGGATCTTCACGGGTGTCTGATGGTGAGACACTTGGATGAATAATGGCGTATTCAGGAACTGCCAAGTCACACATGTACATGTAAGTAAATGTTTGTCGTAACTAGAACACATATCTCATTGATACATCAGCACATTATGTGGTGGGTGGCCTGACTGACCACTGACTGTCCACTGACCTGCAGATTCTGAAACCCCGACCTTATCCTCACGATCTTAATTCAGTCATCGTGAAACCGAACCCCATCTTCCACAGAAACCTTTAATTCCATTCCACTTATCAGATCCCACTTCATCTTCCACTTTACGAAACCTTTTCACGACTTCATTGTGGAAACCCCTTATCGACTTTAGACTTCACGAAACCCCGATCCTTTAGGATTCCACGACGACTCTTTCCACTCCATCATCTCGACGACTTAAGATCTCGATCCTTTAATCCCCATCCAGACTTTCTGACTTTATCTCGACGACGACGACTTCGACGACACTTCCACGACGAGCCTTCGATCCTTTAGAAACCCTTTATCTTTGAGATCTTCATTCCTTTATGATTCTGTCTCACTCCACTTTGAGGAAACCTTTAATCCCTTTGACCTTTGTCTTCACGACTTGATCTCGATCCTTTACCGATCCTTTGAAACCCTTTTATCTTTACTCTTTCCCGGGATCCTTTATGATTCCTCGATCCTTTTTTGAGATTTGTTTTAATTCTTTTATCTTCCTTTGACGACGACTTCGACGACTTATCTCGAGACGACTCTTTAATTTGAGTCTCGATCCTTTATGGTCCTTTGAGATTCCTCCTTTGAGACTTTAATTTCTTTAGGATCTTGACTTTCACTTTACTTTGAGGAAACCCTTTATTCTATTCTTTGAGGAACTTTGATTCTCCAGACTAATTTGTCTTCTCGATCTTTCATCGATCTCTTTAGGAAACTTTAACACCTTTACTCTTCTTTTTACTTTATCCTCTTTTTACTTCTTTCTCGGATCTCTTTGCCTTTATCCTTTGTCTGTTCATCTTTGAGAAACCTTTATCTTCTTTACCTTTATCTACTTATCTTTACCTTTGATTTACCACTTCAGCCTTTCATTGGGAGTCCCGACTTCTTTCTTTATGATCTCCCACGACCACATAGCCTGACTTTACAGAAAACCCCACTTTGTCGGAGCCACTTCCACTCCTTTACTGGGAGTCCTTTACCTCGACGACGAGTCTTCGATCCTTTATCTTTACCTTTTATTCCTTCACGAAACGCCTCCACATCTATAATTTTAATTTGTTCCTTTCCCCGACTTCTCATAACACTAGAAACCGAGCATTTTCCTCATTTCCTTTGATTGCCCTTGACTTTAATCTCCTTTACCATCTATGGATCTATTTGTCTTTTTTTTATGTGTTTGAGCTTAGATAGATTATATTTGTGCCTCGAGAGATTCTATCCTTTTATTCCTTTATTTTATCTCGACTTTATTGCTTTTCCTTTACCTTTATTGATCTTTCTTTATTTCTTTACTTTGAGATCTCTTTGATAGATTTCATTATTTATTTTCCTTTAATTTGAGGAAATGAGATGAGATTTCTTTACCTTTATATGACATTTATCTTTACCTTTTGAGATTTATTTTCTTTACTTTTAGGAAATTTCTTATATGATTTTCTTTACCTTTAGGAAACTTTATATCTTTACCTTTTATGATTTTCGAGATGATTTATTTATTTTACCTTTGAGAAATCTCGATGATGATGATTTCTCGATTTCTTTTATTAAGCTTCGATGATTTTCTTTAATTTTAAAGCGCATTTATTTTACCTTTCGAGATGAGATTTCCTTTACTTTATGAAATTTCTGAGATGAGATTTTATTTTTATTTATTATATTTTACTTTTAAAGCGCATTTATTTTACTTTTAGAAGCGAGATTTATATTCTTTAGAAGCTTTCGAGATGAGATTTCTTTACTTTTAGGAAATTTTACTTTATATTTTACTTTATTGTTTTCGAGATGAGATTTTCTTTACCTTTATACTTTCATATTTTACGATGCTTTAATTGTTTATATTTATTTTCGATTTATTTCTTTGTATTTATTTGTCTTTACGAGATGAAATTTCGACGACGAGATTTTCTTTTATTTTATTTTATGACGAGATTTTACTTACTTTATACAGCGATTTTCATCTCCCCACCCCTTCACATCTCCCCACCCTCACATTTCCTACACCTTACATCTCACCAACCCTCACATCTCCCACCTACCCCATGTACCCACCTGTCCCCAACAGTGCCCAAAGGCTTCCACAGGTTATACTGCACATCCCACTCCAGTTGCCTCATGTTGACATATGTGTAGTGGTCATCCGAGTCCCGCAGCTTGCTGACCATTGCACCATTGGACACTGTAATCATTGGAAGACATTCAGTACACATAAAGCTGTGGCAGGACTAACAGAGGTCTTGTACAGACATTGATGAGTGACATACCCAATACAGGTATATCATTGTCTCGTTACTGTACAACATAGATGAGAGAACTTGCTTGTTGGGCATACTTGGAGTAGTTGACCTGTTGTTAATACATATTAGAAAGGTACTTGGCTCAACATTAAATATATATAAGCAGCATTTATTAGTAATCTCAGTCTTCATTCTCTGATGCACTCACTAACCTGGGACAGCGTCCATGGCTACCAATGCCAGGAATGGCTGAGGTAAAGAGATGACTTTTCCAATTGTCTGAAAATATAATTAGTTCCAATCTGATAAAAGAGCTAAGGTACATTTCCACCCCTTCAAAGCATATATTGAAAGACATCTGCTGAATGCCACTGAAACAGGATGTTCCCTCCTGGTCCCTCACACACATTTTATAAACTCATGCAGTCAGTATTAACATGCACAGTTAGAGGTCCTCGAAGCCAGACACCTATATCCAAACTTCATTTCCACATCGCAATGAATATTAAATCTGGAGAATATCAGCCAGTTTTCCAGGTCTAACAGGTGTGACATGTTCCTGACGTTCATGAACAGATGACTGACGGTCAACCAGACATGAACGTCTGTCTTGTTTTACACTGGATGAAAACAACCAAGTTATTCTGACCTGACTGAAGGAATGTTAATGTACCAACCTGCGGTCCTAATAACAGGACATCTCCTAAATCTGAAACAATAACATAACATCAATTGAACCACTCTGATCTGGTGTATGTATTAGGTTATCTACGACACAGTAGATGTTACAAATTATACCATCAGTGTCTTATATGCATTATTAACATACAATTAAGGTTTAGTCCCATCACTGACTGATTAATAACTGGGTCTACAAATAGTCACCTAACCCAAGAAAGAAGACAAATGTGCCCTGGATACAAGTGTCATTAACACAATGCACAACTACAGTACCGTATGTGATTCGATTGATTGTTTGACTTTCGTAAGACCTTTATGACATGTTGACCAAGACTCATACTTCGACTTGGATTCAGTCATCCGGTCCACCGTCATATCTATCACAGCTTTCAAGTCTTGCGCTTCCTCAATGTTCCCAATTACATAAGAGTGAGACTTTACGGGATCGTTAATAATTTATGACTAGGGGGGATGATGATGATGATTTCACCCATTTTGTTCTCGGGAGCTAGGGGGGTCAGCTAGGGGTCAGTCAGCAATTTTATACATAAATATATGTTTAAAATTGTGCTTAGAAATTATGGGAAGGGGAAGGGGGTCATTGATTTTGTACATGACATGCAAGAGGGGTCACTTATTTTGTACATAATTTTTAGGGGAGGGTCATTCACATTGTACATGCTTCTCCATAAAAATCGTCACCACCCCCCCAGCCATAAATTATGAACGGTCCCTAAGAAACATCATCTATAGAGATGAGATGATGATGATGATGATGATGATGATGATGATGACTTACGTGGAAATTTGGGTGTGTTTTTCCTGGGTGTGTGACACTGGACAACAGGGGGGTCTGAGTCGGGGCTGGTCACCCCTTTCATGTGGTATTCCGACACATCTACAGGGGTCTTGGCTCTCTTCACCGACCCAGACGTCTGCAATTTGGTAATTCAAGGAAAGCTTTAGTCCAGGTACAATGGTACTATAAGTCATAGGCTACAATCAAACCAGACTGACTGGATGAAACACACCAAATATATACTTCCATGTAAAATTTCAGCTTTATGTGAATTATATCCGATGAAACTTACTGTACATAGATATCAACAAATAAATTGCTTTCTGATCCATTTAAAAAAAAACTTCAATAAAAATCTTTTAATTATTGTAAACCAAAAATCACTGTGTTCTTTAATCTGATTGGTTGATAAACATGATCAAATGGTATTCGATTCCCGGAAATTCGCTGCGTATTAATACATACAAACATCGCTCACACCATTGTATTGTTACGTCGTCAGCTGAGATGACGTCATTCAAATCATATTGTGACGTAAAGTCCGAATGACGTCACAAATGAGCAGTTCCAGATGCTACCATGGGAGACAGCCGAAACGGCCGGCTGATGACATTTCACTGCTGTACCCGTACTCGATGTCAATGAGTGCAGACACAAAAACGATGTGTGGACCTTTTGGTTTACTTTTGTGTTTACAATGTCGATAAACATCATGTGTTGGCCAATTTCCGGGTGTTATTGAGTATTTGAAGCACGGGAATATTTTAAATGAATTCCGGTGCCTCAAATACTCAATAACACCCGGAAATTGGTCAACACATGATGTTTATCTCCTAAATTAACAATGGTCTTAACACTTTTTTGAACACATAGCAAGCTAACCTTCCCACCTGTGTACAATGTGTGAAGCCTATTTCTGGTGTCCTCCACCACCACGATGTTGCTGAAACATTGCCAAAAGCAGCCCAAAAGCACACTCACTGACTCAGTGTGGTTCTGGAGACCAAACTTGAGCCACACAATAAGATCAACTTGCACTGTATGGGCACAAACCAGTAGTCTCCTCCAAACAGGGCTTAATCACACCATCAACAGGCTATCATAAGTGCACTTGTTTTCCCATGACCCTGTTTGTTGTGTAATCTCCTAGGTGCCCTGTACTGTCCAGTAGTTCTTGAAGTGATAGTATCTAGACTCACGCTCAGTACTTTGTCGCTCACAGGCTCTCGTGGAGATTTGTTGGTGAGATTCATCGTCTGTTCCTGAACCTTCTGTAGGAGAATCTCAGCAATGTCCTCGTACAATGCCCGCACATCTCTCTGCAAACAGAAACAGCTGTGTCACAGGTATGTTTTCAAGACCTAGATCAAAACTACCACATATCTACTGCAAGTATTCTCTCAATGACGCTTTCTTTTTAAACTATATTCTGGAAAAACACACTAAATTCTGGAGATCTGTTGCTTGTTGTGATAATAAACAAGGAAGAGTCTTCTCCCTTTATTCTTCATTTTTCAACTTTCTCAAAGACATGCTTACATTAGAATAGGATAAAGCACAAAGGCAATGCATCTACTATTTATTATCAAGAAGGGAAGAGTTGCCTCCCCTTAATGTTAATTTCTTCATCTTGTTCTGCAATTTTTTCATTCAATGGGATCAAGGAATCACATACTATTTAATGGTTAGTGTCCTTATCTGTTGATGAAGTGACTTAGTCACAGTCAGCAAGATACCATTCTAACAAGTCTGACTTCCCTTTATAGCACCCATTTAAGTTCCTGACTAATGTGTTCAACATACCCTCTCAGTCCTGTAGCTCTCAGCAAGTTGGGAAATTTTTCCAATAATGCTCCGGTCTCCTGTTCCCGTGGTTACCAAGTTCATCACTCCTGAAAATAATCAGTTGTAAAAGCTGATGAAACACTTCATCATATTAAAAGGTACATTACTGTTGACACCTTTAAGTTTTTCAAGTTATGCCATGCACGTCACTGAAACTACATCACAGACAGCTTGAAACAACAACTCCACCTGCCATCAACATATTTCTTATTTCAAAGATATATATGAACAAGGTTTTTTCTATATAAGTCACCCTTTGTTTCTTGCACTAGATATTCTAGGTATGTTTCAGAGAGTCTCACCAACATCCTTCTCCATATACTCAAAGAACGCCGGGACAATACACATCAGTTGAACAATCTCTGATGCCAGGAGACACTTGTAATCTCGGTAGCTGAAACACAGAAACATTTCATCAATGTCAGCAAACAAAATCCATGTTGGAAATTGTCCTGAAATTAATTATTTCACAGATACAGGCCTCCATTTAAACCAAACCAAAACTCACAGGTAATGTTTTTTTCTCAAATAAATCAACTTACATCAAAAGTCAACTCTTATAGAAAAGCGGGACCCAGTGGCAGATGTCCTAGGTGTACATACCAAAAGTCTGTACTGTCTTGTTAAGGTACATACTAAAACTTCCATGTTGGTGTGATCTATTCTCACACTATTATTAAACATCCTGATGATGACGTGCATAGGGTGATCTCCATCTTACATGTTGTGCATCTTGCCAGTAGTCTGTGAGTCCCCCTGGGAGTTGGACTGACTGAGTCGAGTGAGTTCCGCCACGGTGTAGAACAGGCACAGGTACAGGCGGTCGTACAATCCTCCATCCTGACAACACACAGCTCAACACATCACAGCCTGGAGAAGTCTCACATAATCATGCTACAGGTACAGGTACAGGGACAGGCGGGTACGAAGTCTCACATTATCATGCTACAGGTACAGGTACAGGGTACAATCCTCCATCCTGACAACACACAGCTAAACACATCACAGCCTGGAGAAGTCTCACATTATCATGCTACAGGTACATCGCATAATCCTCCATCCTGACAACACACAGCTAAACACATCACAGCCTACAGGTACATGCTACAGGACAGGTACAGGGACAGGCAGTACAATCCTCCATCCTGACAACACACAGCTCAACACATCACAGCCTGGAGAAGTCTCACATTATCATGCTACAGGCACAGGTACAGGCAGTGGTTCAGGCCTCCATCATGACAACACATAGCTAAACACAGTCCAGAGAAGTCTTGCACAATCGTGTTAGAGGAATATCTACTTTTCTTGCCCAGGTGACTGGCCTTTCATAACTCATCTTATGAGCAACATATGATATGAAACTTAACAGATTTGCTTAATTTCTACCTAATTTCTATCAAATATAGAAGATCATGATTTTTGTGGTTTTCTTAGCATATTTCTTACTGGCACACAAGCATTTGATCCAAGTACTGAGACTAAATATGTAAAAATACTTAATATAAAAGTTGGATAAAGACTTGCTCATAATTAGACTTTCTCTTGAAGTTTAAAAGCATTTTTTTTTATTTTTTACCTGTTCTGAACATAATAATGTCATAAGTCCAAAACCTTCAAGTGACAGAAAACAACTTGGCTCCCAGTAGTTAGTGGACTCTCCAATAACATTTCCCAATTCTCTGTCTGTAGGGACTACAACTGTTACTGCCTATGTCCTGTATGACTGACCTCCCTGATGTCCTTGTCCACCTTGATGGCCGACAGCAGGATCCCCACCACCTGACACCGCACGTCCTTGGGCAGCAAGAACAGGTCCATGGTGTACACCTTCCTGTCAGTCAGTGAGGCAGATGGGTTTAACTCTGATATACCATCACATATTCCAATTATATCAGTGTATGTCTGTTTTATGTGGGCAATTGAGATGGCCACCTAAAGAATTTCATTCACAGCATGTCAGCTTAATGTGGATGGGCACACCAAAAGTGACACAGATTGTTAAAGTTTTCTCCTTTTGTGAAACAAAAAACATGGTTCTGACAATCCAGGGATCATAATCAAGTTGAATCTGTGAGTTCAAACCCATCGCCGGCAGATCCTGACTAAACCAAAGACCAGAACTCGGTGAATGTCAACACCTCCGACCACCAGACTGCCAAGACAAACCTACCCTATCTTCCCCAGCTTGGCTGTCTCCAGCGTCTCCTTCACCAGGTGTGTGGGCATTACAAACTCTAGGGATGCCTGAAACAATACATGCAAGTTACAAGACAAAACATTCCACAAAATGTATTGAAGTACACAAGCTATCAGCACAAGAGTTATTTCCCTTCAACAGGCAGACGGATTAACATAGTATGATGTATATTGATGTTACAGTATTTGCTGTCTTAAACACCTTGCACCTGTAAGACCTCCCTGAAAAGAAGGAATCTTTATGAAGAGGCCATAATGAGATTCAAATGATAGACCTTCTGATCCGAGAGTTGGACACCATGTCCACATGGCAAAAGAACAAGCTGACATTGAGGTAGGGATGTCATCTGTGGGATTACTCCAAGCCCTGCTACAATGCCCCTACTGAGACTGAAAGTTTTCATGACAATTCATTTACAGGAAACAGCAGCTTAAAAAGAGGAAAATAACTGCCTCAAAACTTATCACAAACGTTTTTGTTCCATCAACTAAGTCTGTTGACTACTGATCAAACTCTGAAAACAGGTAACCCTTGTTTAGCTGATGTAAACAGAGCATGTGTATTGTCCCCTTGTGACACTGACCACCAGTAGCAGCAGCAACATATTGCATCTCTCCCGGTCAGTGGGCCGGACGTCCAGCAGGTCCTCCAGGAATGTCCGGCGGTAACGCAGCACCTGGAAGTCCCTGCATAAATAAAACCAAATATTCAACATATCATAACATTTTAACTAGAAGTGTTTGCAAGTACACTCAAAAACAGAAAATAGCCCCTTTATTGTCATTTCCCCCAAATCATATGTCCATGTACTTCCAGCCTGTAAATATCACTTACATCCCTTTATCAAGGCAATATTTGTAAGATGCAAACATCAGATCCAGGTTAGAAATGATCATCAGAAATCCTGCTTGTGACATGAGGCGATTAACGGGATCAGGAGGTCAGACTTGGCCATTTGGTTGACACACATCGTATCCCAGTTAGATAGATTGATGCTCATGATGTCAATCACTGGATTATCTGGTCCAGACTCAATTATTTACAGAACACCTCAATATAACTGTGGTATTGCTGAATGCGGCATTAAACAAACAAATGCAAGATGCAGTAATTTACCAAACATCACCAATATTGCACGTGTAGAGATTGGATAAGAATATCAATGATCATTGCCTAAGTGAATTTAAAATACAACTATGTTGAAGAAGTACCTCAAAGGAGACCTTAACCTTTGACATAAATGCAATGATGTACCAACTACGGCATGTACAGAACAAGGAATGGTGTTTCATGCTACTAGGTACCCTTCCTATGTTTGTGGACGACATGGCATATAGATCAACATCCCACATATCTCAGTACCTGCTCGTGCCACCATCTTAACATCTCCTTGTACAAATGTTGTATTTAAAATAAAAATTTAAGGAGACATTTCTGACCTTTGGAAAACTTGACAATGTATTAACACGATAACCTTCACAGCTACCAACCTCTTAGTGTACTTCCTCTCTATTGTGAGGTCCTCTTGTAAATTGAAAGCTAAGTACTTAAGTCGTCTTTGATCAATTTCTGCAAAGAAAAACATTAACACCATGATGAATAACTTCTCACTGAACAGGTTTTTCTCAGAAAATCCCCATTAATCTCATGTAATTAGTGGTTTGATATAAATGTCACATTCAAATATTTTGTGAACTTAGAAACATTATCTAGCGAGATGTTGAACTTCTTTCTAGGACTGCAACTGCATCTGTCAACCTGGAATCTGCATCAAATACCTCTGATGCATACACAATAGATGTGACTGTGGTTTTACACCACCGTGAACTATCTTCTAGTTATTATCAAGAGACAGTACTCTGCATAGCAAGTATCAACTTATGAATAATGATAGATCATAGAGATTAGATATACTATTCACACAACTATTACAGAACTCACCTATATTATGAACAGCGTTTATAGGGAACTTTGTTAGCAGATGTTTAGACTGGAATAAAACAAAAACAGCTGGTTCATAACTTGATTCATAACTTGGTTCATAATGGTTTGGTTGTTGTTTTATGCTATACTCCGAGTCTGGACCAGATAAACCACTGATTGATACTGTGATATAGTGTTGGGATAGAATAACACACACAATTTCATCAATCTTATGACAAACATGGGTTGCAGGGCATCTGTTCTATTCCAGATCTCTGCAGAAAGTTTACATGTTGAACAGCTTCTGAGTGTATACACCTAGATATTTCCTCAGGTAAACTCAAGCAGCATTTGAATCCACAACTCCTACACCCTTATGGTATAACAAATCATTATGAAATGACATTATTTATTCTATTTCAATCATTACTACCTCTTCTACAAGTTATATTATTTTGTATGATTATTGACACCTGACTGTTTGATAGACAATGTTTTTAGGAGTTGCCCATATTGGACTGCCCCATGAACCTACCTTGTCCCCGAAGATCCCGTTCACCTGTATTTTCTTCAGTGCGCTAGGTATAAACCATTCCCTGCCTAGCTTGTGTCTCTGAAATGTTGGATGACATGGTGAGTTCAGATTCAAGGTACAGTAGGTCAGTAATATTTTCCAACATTGGTTTACTCCTGAAGGAATTAGATCATGTTTTAAAATGGGGGTTGGTTGGTCACAATGCCTACTGAAAGTACTCAGTGCCTACCGAGGAATTTGCGGCCCACAGGAAGTGCTTGGTGACTGCTGAAAGTATGTATTGCCCAACTAAAGCATTTTGTGCCTAAAGGAAGTGCTTGGTGACTACAGAGGTACTTGGGACCAACTAGAATTACAAGGTGCCTACTGGAAATACTGTGTGCCTACCGAAAGTACTAGGCTCCTAGTTGATATACTTGGCACTTACTAAAACTACTTGGTGCCTACTGAAACTATTTGGTGCCTATTGTAAGTACTTAGTGCCTACTAAGTGTATTTGGTGCCTACTGAAAGTACTTGGTGCCAAGTGGAAGGACTTCATGCCTACCAACACTCAGCCGTCACCTGTGGAATAGTCTGTTACAAAGTCCAATCAGTTCCAGATAAGTAGCATATCTGCATAACACAGACACTTTTTTATTAGCAGAACTTCAAAAATATTTACTTTTGGTACACCTGACCTGAGGAAAAGCCTACATCCTGACAACTGCTACAGTTAAGGTGCTAACATTGAACAAACAACAGAAAAAAAACAGAATAAAACCCACAATAATATTTGCCACCAGTAAACCATAAAAGATCCTTAGCATGATGCGCAGAACATGATTATACCATTTTTTCTCCCAACCACTTATCGACGGTTTAACTTATGACCGGAGGTGTCTGCCACAAGGCTCGAGCAGTCAGTACTCAGGGGAGTTTCCTGTGGAGTGGGAGTGACGACATCAACAGGCTGGGTAATATGTGCAGCTTATTGGAGCCATCAATCACAAGCAATATTGATCATGTAAACACCCCGTCTATACTGGACTGCAGCATACAAAGTGCTTGGCCAATCACTGCAGGCAAGTGCTCCAAGCGACAGTTTTGTTTCTGATTAAAGGGCTGTGTGATTGATGACTTAGAAGGTTGTTGGGCTTAGAATAATTACTGTGAAGAATTGGTTGATTTACACATCCCGATATCAAAAGATTGAGTGAATGTTAAAGACCTAGTTTTAGATTCAAAAGACCTGACCCAAACATCTGTTTCAGTGGTAATGGTGGTGGGTGATTCTAACAACAGTGGGCATATTGACACATGCTTTCATCACAGTATGGGTATGTAAATATATCTGCTTTATGGCTTAGCCAGCATAACCTATGTGAAATAAGGTTTATGAAAAAGTACCAAGCTGTGAAGATTGCATGATAAAATGTTTCTAAGGGATGTGAAGAACATAGCAAATAGAAATGTCCTGATCACTACATATGTATTCCTTACCATAGATCTAAATTAATTAGGATTAATTTTAAACTTTGTTCTGCTGTAACCTTGCATTTGGTTAGATCCAGAATATTTTTGGTGTCTGCTTCAAAACTTACCTAATAGTTGTAAAACTATGTACACAATGAATGTTTTGCAAGTCAACTGTCATCCAAGTTTCTTTACCTGTCCAGCATGGTACTTGGTAGAAGATGCACACAGCCAGGTGATGTAAACATCTGGACTGTGAGGTACAGTTGTGTCTACTTACTAGGGATGTCACGATACATATGTTTCATGAATTGATACATATCACGATACCCATGCCATGATTCGATAAGTATCACAATACCTATTTTTGCGGCATTATTGCATAAACTTAGTTACATTTTGAACATAAATATTTCATATTTTATAACTGTCCCTGAAAAGATCAACATTTTTTTATTCTCAGAGATTAAAAAGTTAAAATTTCCCATCTTTGTGCATGAAAAATAATCATTTATAACTCTCATAACATCAAAAAACATGATACAATTGCAAAATGTAAATGATACATAAACATATTTAAACTGATACTTTCAAAACTAAATATCGATACAGCTTTGAATGTATTGATAATTGTATCATCTTAGAAAAAGTATCGATGCTTCGATGTTTCGATGTATCATGACATCCCTACTACTGACAGGACTGCAAACCCCAAGTGGCTATGCCAACTGATTCTACTCGAGACACACATGATAGGCTGACGTACTGGTGGTCGCCACTATACAGCTCATGACAAATGTTGTAGTTGCTAGATCATCTGCTCTGTTGTTTAATACACCATCACTTCCTGAGAGTGTATGGGGGCAGAGGGATGAAGAGACTTACCAAAGCAGTGGAGGATGGACAACGTGTGACCATTTTAGTTGCAGAACAGGGGGGTCAATTATGGAAGGAAATTCCATACATTCCATATTGAAAACATGTTTTCTGATGCTGATGTGATAGGAACAGAGGTAGCTAGACAAGCCTTTTTGGTTTTGGTCAAATCAAACAGATGTTCCAGCGTCATGGTAACTGGAAATACCGGGGTTATATTGCAGAATCAGGTTGAGACCAGACCCCTCTACAAGCAACACAAGGTTACCATAGTTACAATGACAAGAGTCAACTCACAACAGGATGTTCGGTGAGCGCTGAGTCCTGGAAGAAGTGTTTCACCTGCAGTCTCTCCGCCGCTGAAACAAACACAGGATGCAATACATTTCCAGGCACAAACAGAGCGTAAACACAGTTGTTGTTTAATGACACACTCACCAGTATTCCAGGTGTATGACGTGTAAATATTCAAGTCTGGTTCAGACAATCCAGTGATTGATATCATAAGCAAAGGTCTACACGATCAGCTGAACAACTAATGCGCGTTTCCAGACCAACTGGCCTGGGCCCAGATTTCCGAAGCTCTCTTAGCGCTAAGATAGTCATAAGTTAATGTTAATGTATGGCATTTACGACTATCTTAGCGCTAAGAGAGCTTCGAAAATCTCGGCCCAGGAACCCCCATAGGGACACATGCCACATTCTATATTACTACAGTAGTCTTATTGAAAATGACAGTTAAATATTTGAAAGTGTGGGTAGTCTAGACATGACATACACAATCAAGTGAACACGGTGAAAGCTTCATACTGCAAAGCTACAAGTAAGCTGAGGATCATGATCAGAGATGGGATCAAACCCACAATACCATTCCACCATGGCATAACTAAGGAACACAACTCTGCACAGAAGGTTGTAGTACCTTGGACATACTATAGCACTTTTCCACCCACAGCTTGTCCGTGGGTAAATACAGGCAGACAAACCAGTGGTTGATATCATGGCAACCTCCAGGTGATGGGGAGAATGGGAATCAATAAAATAGACATTTAGTAATTATATGAGGATTTTGTCCTTTAGAAAGGGGAATGGGACCAAGGACATGGGGAAGATCATCAAAATGGGTAACAATCATTACAGGATGTCATGGTTTTCAGTCCATTAGCGCATCACACCAGCCATCAAAATAGTAAATGTCCAGTCAGTTTAGTCACAGACTGTAAGACAGGTTCTTGTATGCCAGTTGTTGTAAAGTAACCAGTGTGCTCAGTAAACATTCTGAACAAGCTGCTCTCATCATTCTCCTAAATCATGGAGATTGGCTTGAGGTTAGACAGATCATAACTGATTGTAGTCACACTACTTGGAAACACCGTCCACAGGAGTTTCATTTTGACATAGATGATTTCAACTTTGATAAACTGATGTCAGACATATTCAACTTGACTGGTCGAGATGGCTAAAATCTACAACAGAGTCTAAAAGATAAAGTCGAGAAATCAATAACAACAATCAAAGGTTTAGACCTGACATTGATTTTACAATCATAATGAAAACAGCAAGTGTCTTGTTGATGGAAACCTGATGACCACGTACAGACCCTACTAACAGCCATTGGGAAATATTGTAGCATCAAAAGTACATTCACACGACTAAAATAGTGAATATTACCATCTAATATGATGATTTAACTACTGCCATGTACTCGACCCTAGAAGCACATATACCAAGGCACGCCCATAGCATTATACAAACAGATAATAGAATACTGCCTGAAAAGACAGCTCCTATATGAAACAGATCTATCTGCATATTCACCGATGTAAAAGGTGAAGTGGCACTAAATTGACAACAGACATGTGCATTAACTACTTCAGGGAGGGAATAACTGGCCATAGACTCACAGAGCTTAATCATGTCTGAGTGCGATCATGGAGGATTGGGCAAACTCCTGATGTATTGGATAATGCACAATTGTGGAGTACTTGATCACTCATAGCTTGAAATAAGTCAGACTTGAAGTGTTTATGTTTGAAAGAGAGTTGGGTTTTGTTGATTCTCAAGAGTGCTGCTGCTGAATTAGGAAAGCAATCGTCTGACTTTGTATTGTTGTCAACAATTGATGTTTAAACCTACTTAAAGGCACTGCTATCAGCCCATAAACGTTTGTTTAGTGCCAGTAGTTGGAATCAGCAGTTTACCTGCGTGTTCTGGTGCATTACAAGGTATTCAACTTACAAGTGACAATTCTTCCATCCAGCATCCAGATATTGGGCAGACAGTCAATCACATGGATCCGATCTGAAAAAAGAAGAGTAAAATGATCCTGATGAAGCCAAACTTTCAAACGGTATTGCTGAATTCTTGTGTGAGATGTTTTATTCCAGGTAACCATCCACACTAACATCTGCAATACTTCATTGGTTTGTTCTTCCATCAACTGTGAATAGATATGACCAATATAGGGAGCAGAGATGACATGTCCATTTTGAGTCAAGTATTGAAATGTGGTCATGTATAACATACGAGGGTCAAACATGACTATTGTGCGCACCATGTCCATGTGCTGCTGTACGTGTTACTAAGAGCAGATGGACGCAGTGAGCCAGGTACACGTTACCAGACAAATACTGGCATTCATGCTCGGATACACTGACATCTAGACTCTGAAAAACTTGTTACATGTTAAAGTATCCTAAAATTACAAAACAAGAAGAGCCTTCTGAAGGCCAGCACTGTTACAGAACCAATCGTGTGACCATTACAGCAAGCCCTATGAGAATGATCTGTGAAACTTGAGTAGTTATATTTGTAAGTCAGGGACCTGATCCACAAAACATTTGTAGCACTATGCCATTCAAAGCCTATGATAAAGAATAGAGTTATGATAGATTGTAACGTTGCGAACACTTTGTGGATAGGGACCCAGGTCCTTTTTCACCAAGATAGGAGCTAGTGGAGGTTAGCTGAAATTAATTAGTTAATTACCAGCACCAGTTAACAATGTGGTCATATCATGTATGTAATGAAGAAAACCAGTAGTTTTAGAGACATCCTCTGAATTGAGCCAAACTTGTTGCCATAAAAATGGAAAATATACAAACTAAAAATTAGCAAGAGGCACCAGCAGACACCATAATCTCTGTGTGTGAGAAGTTACATGCATGAATACAAAGTAATTTGGGAGATATGTGAAGGATCAAAACCCGACTCTGAGGTTTTGTTTCAAAAAGTAAGCCCGCAGCAGAGGGTTTTGATCCAATTTATGTACCGACCAAAGATATACTTTAGATATAATTTTAAAGTTTGGTATTTACTGTTGAAATCAACTGAGATGTGACTGGCAGTCGATACCTTGCCTTGCACACGCTACCCGTGTCATGCACATGCACTGCCTGCTCTACCCGTCTTGTGAGGAACACATGGTTCATACTGACAAACAGTCTCATCCTTCACAGTGATCCTTCATAGTCTAGTGGATAAAACCACCAAGCTAGTAGGTGAAGGGTTGCAGGTTCGAAACCAGGCATCGGCACAATATATTGGAAGTTTTCAATATTGTGATATTTTACGATCGTATTCAGTAATAGCAAGACAAAGGTATATCAATCATCTATTCAAAGTCAAGGGCTATTCCTCAGAAAATGCCCAGGCAATTCCTCAGAAAATCTCCAGGGCCTGGGCAATTCTGTAGAAAATCCCTGGGACTTCTTGGAAAATGCCCATGAAACTGCCTGTAGAGGTTTACTCGGTGAAAGGAGAAGCTGGTGAGACAATAGAGTGACATCCCTGGAGGTTTAGAAAGCCCGGACAAACACTATGAAAACACTAAACAGATTCATTATCAAACTTGTTGCCGAGAAACAGTAAAAAGAAATTCTTAAAATCCCTAAATAGCAAAATGAACTGACAACCTGGATTTTGTGTGCGCAAAGTATCCTGAAAGAATACCTATTAATAATATTAAAAAAAAGAAATGAAAAAACCCAAAACCTATTAGATTTAGACATATGATCCGAACACAAAATGCACACAGATAAACAAATCAGCTGATTGCGATGTAGACTTTCCAACTATCATAGACTTGAATGGGCTGTATTGCATATATTTGTTCCAGGCTCTGAATGACAGTAGAGCTTTGCACACTTGCTTTGCACACTTGCTCAGGTTTTCCTCTCAGTGGTGGTTAAAAATAGCGACTTAGCTGCCTATCAGGCGACTGTATTCATGGAGTCATGCAGTGTTTACAGACCTGCGGTCTACAAAACTGACAATGTCAATATTTATGCTGCTATATTACAATGGCCAATATATATAAACCCATGTCTGGATACATGACATGGGGTACCATAACAAACTACCTGCCAGGTCACATACTGTGTCCACCCAATACCCTTTTTAAGTATCTCCCCAGATATACCACGAACCACTAGGAACCAATTCTGATCTAACTCTACAGACTGGCAATCATTCAGACCAGGAGATGTCAGAAAATGCCACTCAAAGGAATTTGTCCTCATCATTAAAGTTTTGGGGGATACGGGCGAAAGTCTTACCCTTCTCTGGAGCTCACAACATTTGCTCCTGGCCCTGTTTCTACTTCAACCACATCCACTACATCCTGTCTACCGTGGGGCAATGAGGGTTGCAAATATGTATTTGATCTGACTGTTACATTCAAATTTTCCAAGATCCAATTTCATCAACACTTTCAAGGTAACTATAGATACATACAATATCACACACACACTTAATGCTTTGAGACAACTATTGAACAAAGGTCTGTTCAGGGGTTAAAAAATCCCATCGCCCGATGCCCGGGACAAGTCAGTTTTCATTTTGGGCGATCAAATAATGGTAACTTACTTGTCCATGGACTACTTGATAATTTCTGCTTACTGTTTCATACTGCAAATAAACTTGGATTTCATTTCATATCTGCTCAAAATGAAGCTATTAAAATTTGACACAATACAAGAATGAAATAAAGTAATTTCCGCAATGATAATAAACTAGAGTTATCTTTCTTTGCCATTTATCACTTCTCGGTAAATAGTCCAGTAAACATTAACATCATTTTAATTTTGTGATAAATTATATTTTACGTAGTTCGTTTGTGTCAGCAACTTTCCACTTATTGCACAATCCACCTTTTTGTTGCATTCCGCATTTTACATGTTTTTTATCATGGCCGCAGCCGTGTTGTGCAGCAAAGATTCGTACCCTCCCACCACACCCAGTAGTTTTACTGGTCAGTTGTTGTTGGCTGGCTATGCTTTGCATTATCTCCTACGCTCACTTAATCGACATCAAGCAAGTTAATAAGTACTTCTCTTATACTTAAGCAATTTAACCAATTTTGTATTGTCATGTACCAATTAAGTTTTATGTTCATAGCAGAGGATTACCCCTCTTTGTGGGGGGTCTCTCTTGTCACTGTGTAGTTTATTAACCTGGACAGATTCTTACTTATGTATGTTTGGGGGTTAATAAACTTGACCCAGCTTGAATCTTCTTGCTTTTCTTTTATTGAATTATCCTACCACTTATACCTTCCAATGGATAGTAAAAATACCATGTTGATGATTCTTTCATAATTACATCATCATGATTATGTCATAAATATCAGTGCAAGTGGAAAATTAGTAAGGATAAGTACCTTTCTTAATGTCACTTGCCCTGTGGCAAGTGGCTTTTAAAAAAAAGCCTTGAACCCCTGCTGTTAAGGATTACTTCTCCCACTATTTCAAAGTTAATAGTCACAACAAAATTAGAAAATGCACTACCAAGCTAGTTAGTGTAGTGTGATAGGTATACAGACAGGTGCTTTCATGTTGCAATAATTTCTATCCCTGTTTAACACAGTAAATCATCTGATAGTGACTCTTGTCAATAAGTTTGTTATGATTGTTAGCAAACCCCCGTAGACATCCAACTGTGTTGGTTTACCCTTGGTCCCATTGCACACTGCCCTACACTCAACAACATCCCAGTATGCATTACTCACATTCAAAACAACAATACATTTTCCCCTATAGAAATTGTAACAACTTGTCATTCCTTGAACACATATCCCCTTACCCGCTATACATACTTCAATCCAGCTCAAGACAATTCACTTTAAAAATGCCCCATTTATCTGCAACCAGATCTACAACAGCCATTTCACACTGAAAGTGAACAGCGGTTCCCTGCACAAAACAGTTGCTCAGGCGGGTAAGTGCCGGCCATATAAGTAACAAAGTGTCAATAGCAGCTCCACCCGGTACTAAAACAGTACTGCATTAACTGTACATAACTGGGTGAACGCCAGTCATAACTCGGCTATCAATCGGCCGACTACGGTGTGTGTTTCACCAAACCTCACTCCTGTTTCATGCTGCTGAAGGACTGGAATATATTTCTTCCTGACATGCCATGGTTGTTGACCAAGGTCTCGCTGACAAGTCTGTCAGATACCAAGATACCTTTTGTTTTTGTTCAAACTATATGTATGTGCTTGTACAGTTTGTACTTTGATCATCTGCATCTCAGCTTTAGGGGAATATCTACATGTTATCACGTCAAGATTCAACTTGTCATAACCAGGCTCTTATTATTTTGATTGTTATGGCAACAGTTTATTTCTAACTTAATGTCTAAAACAACCTAACATCTATTCAAAAAAGTATTTCCTTGACAAAGTTGTGCATTACTCATAAGAATCTATTCATATTTTAGAAATTGATACAACACAATTTGAATCATCTGTTAACAGAACTTTGCCATTCTTGGAATAAACTTTTTCAACTACTTTAATTGTAAAAGTAAAACACACAAAAAATACCATACACAAAACAATACATAAATGACTATAGTTTGGCATGAAATGCATGTGGACCCGTTTTTTTTGTAAATATCTCATCATCCAATGATCCAATCGATCTCAAACTGTGCAAGTGGATGTTTTGTCAGACATTCTTTTGACATCAGGGTCATCAACTATCATGAACTGCACGTGCATTTACCTTTCTGACCCAACACTGCCGCTGTTACAGGTCATTGGCTCCCTCCCTCTGCAGGCGGTCTGCGTTCTGCTGTTTATTTTGTTGACAGTTACATAGACAGATTCTTTAATACAAATGCATAAAATCGGTGATTTACAATGTGATTAGGTTGTCTGACAAAACATCCACTTGCACAGTTTGAGATTGATGGGATCTTTGGATGATGAGATATTTACAAAAAAACGGGTCCACATGCATTTCATGCCAAACTATAACAAGACATTTCCTTCAACAGCTTTGGCCTCAGTCTACAAG